CAAGCATATTGCAACGACATATATTATCTGCTTCAGTTTCCAAGGAACCTGCAAGGTTCCGACACAGCCTAAGCCGGCTCCACGCGAATTTTCATTCTGCATCCGTTCCAGCATTGCAAGGCATACGATTTTCCACCATCTGAGTGAATTTGCGTGCATGCGTGCATGCCGTGGTGATGCAGATGCTGAGGCATAGCCATACCTGTTGCTTTGCATCCGCGCTGTGAAATTGAGCTCTCGCTGGCATGCCTGCGTCGTGACCCGAAATCTCCAGTTCACCGTGCCCCGACATGATTTTAGCCCTAAGCGCTACAGTAAATCCTAAACTGCCCTAAAACTTAAACCCTAAGCTTTGGGATGTTCCGCGCTTATACTAACAGTCTTTAATCGGGATTATAGCAGGGGCTACTTGAATAATCTTATCAAGGGGGGAACATCCCAACCTAAGCCCTAAACCCCAAACCCTAAACCCCTAAACCTCTAAACCTCTAAACCTCTAAACCTCTAAACCTCTAAACCTCTAAACCCTAAACCCTAAACCCTAAACCCTTCGGAGCCGGATCGAAGACCACGGCCCCGTCGTTGCAAGACTCCCAGATTTGGGACGACCTAGACAGGGCAGTCTGTTGAGGGTTTAGGGTTTAGGGTTTGAGGGGGACCCTTCCTCTTCTTCCCCTAGCCCCTATATACACCTTATGTAGTCGTCCCTATAAACCTGGCTAGACCCTAAATGGCCCCTAAGGTCCCTCATAAGGGTCCCTCCTTTAGTCCCTTGAGTCTGTTTCCTTTGATATTCCCAAAGCTGAATAAGCAAGTTGTAGGCTTCGGATCCAATCGTTGAGGTCCATGTTTTCGGTTTAAGGGTTTAGGGTTTAGGGTTTAGGGCTAGGGTTTAGGGTTTAGGGTTTAGGGTTTAGGGTTTAGGGTTTAGGGTTTAGGGTTCAGGGCTTTAGGGGTTAAGTAGCCCCAAAGCCATCCGAAGCGTCGCACCCTAAGCTTTAACAGAGATAAGCTCTAGACCCACCCTAAACCCTAAGCCCTCGAAGCCCTAAACCCTAAGCCCTAAACCCTAAACCCTAAACCCTAAACCCTAAACCCTAAACCCTAAACCCTAAACCCTAAACCCTAAACCCTAAACCCTAAACCCTAAACCCTAAGCCCACCCGAGGCTGCCAGCCTTGTGGGCGGCCGCCCTCCCGCGGCGAGAAGGTGCTGCCTTCGGCGCTGGGCTGGTGAGGAGCTGTTTAGGGTTTAGGATTTGGGGTTTGGGGTTTAGGGTTTAGGGTTTAGGGTTTAGGGTTTAGGGTTTAGGGTTTGGGGTTTTAGAGTTTAGGGTTTAGGGTTAAGGGTTTGGGGTTTAGGGTTTCGGGTTTCGGTTCTGGGGTTTGGGGTGTGGGGTTTGGGGTTTGGGGTTTAGGGTTTAGGGTTTTCAGTAAGTTCAGGGATTCAGGGAGCTCTTTACCGTCTACGTTGTGCGTTTTGTTCAGGGTCTATTGGGTTCAGGGCTTTCTGCTTTCGGGCTTAGGACCAGGTTTTGAGCTTTTAGAGCTTCAGGGTACTTGGTAGTTCATGGGCACTTGCGAGGACCCGGACTAGGCCTTCATTTCCCTTTTTTGGAGCCTTGGGGATCCCTTCTAAATCCCCCTTAAAACCAAAAAGGGCAACCCTTTTTTTACTTCAAATCTAGGTTAACTGCTAGGTCTGGCTTGCAAGCCGGGGCTGTTAAGTATTGTAAGCTGTGTAGCCTTATGTAGGGTATTGATAGCACGTCTTATATCTACCCGTGAACCCCAAGTAGGGCTGGGGAGGGCTTTGGTTTGTGGAAGGGTTTAGGGTTTAGGGTTCAGGGTTTAGGATTTAGGGTTTGGGGCTGCCCATGGCTACTTCGCAGGAGCTATGCGGCCATGGCTGCCGCTCGGCGAAATTTCGGAGGGCCGATAGACCAGAACGTTAGGGTTTAGGGCTTTAGGGTTGAGGGTTTAGGGTTTCAGGGGTTTAAGGGTTTAAGGGTTTAGGGGTTCAGGGGTTTAAGGGTTCAAGGGTTTAGGGGTTTAGGGGTTTAGGGGTTCAGGGGTTTAAGGGTTAAGGGGTTTAGGGTTTGGGGAGGTCTACGTTTAGAGTTTAGTCTAGATTCTAGTTCTTGAGCCCCAAGCTTCAGTACCCCAAACCCTAAACCCTAAACCCTAAACCACACTAAACCCTAGGGGTTTAGGGCTTCAGAGTTTAGGGCTTAGCATTCTGTCCTTGGGGTTTGTAAGGCTGATAAGGCCCATGAAAGACAAACCCTAAACCCGAAACCCTAAACCCTAACCCTAAACTAGGATTGAGGTTTGATGAGGCTTAGGCAGTTTGAGGTTTGTTAGATTTACAGGTTTAGGGGTTAGGGCTCCTAAACCCTTAAACCCTCAACCTAGATACTCCTTACCCTTAAGCTCACGATGCCTAGAGGAGGGACCCTTCTAAGGGACCGTAGTTAGTTGGGGAAAATTTAGGTTTCTAGGGCTATATATAAGGTGTATTATATATATATATAAGTCTTAGTAGCTGAGTGACTACACTTGACACTTTTTTGGGGACTTATGAACCCAGCAACCAAGAGTTTCTAGGGGAATAAGAGTAAGGGTCCCTTCTAGGGGTCCCTCCTGAAACCCCTTGAGGCCCTTAAGAAGATCTTAGACGGCTAAGTATCCCTCGGCAAAGCCTGAGCCTGCCCTAAACCCCGAAAAGCCACAGTTTAGGGTTTAGGGTTTAGGGTTCAGGGTTTAGGGTTTAGGGTTTAGATCCCCCCCCCCCCATTCCGCGGTAGGCCCTTGGGGTATTTTTCGTTTTCGGTTATGGGTTTAAGAGGATCATGTTGGGAGTATTTTTCAGAGGGTGTTAAGGGCCAGGCTAGGTTCGTCAAGGCGTACACTTAGGGTTTAGGGTTTTAGGGTTTTAGGGTTTTAGGGATTTAGGGTTTTAGGGTTTTGGGGTTTTAGGGGTTTAGGGGTTTAGGGGTTTAGGGGTTTAGGGTTTTAGGGTTTTAGGGTTTTAGGGTTTTAGGGTTTTAGGGTTCAGGAACGAACCAAAACTTCAGGGCCTAGGTCCGAAAGCCCTCATTCCCAAGACCCCAAAACCCTCAAAGACCCAAACCCCAGATCTTCCAACATCCCTGAATAAAGGAACATACCAAAATTTATGATAAGGATCCTTAGTCTAAAGTAGGGCATTTTTCCTTAATTAAGGGGTTTTTGGAATCTGGGTGGGTAATTCATTTCCGAAAAAACCCTCAATCCTAAACTCTAAACCCTCAGGCCTAGGCCCGAAAAAAACAAGCTACAGCCCTGGGATCCTCATAACCACCGTCCCCTAAACCCTAAACCCTCGGCTTCCAAGAGCCTCAACGGTTCTGAGCAGGGAATCAGGGAATGAGGTACCCTTGTTCTGGGTTTAGGGTTTAGGGTTTAGGGTTTAGGATTCAGGTTCCTGGGGGGGGGGGGGGGGGGGGTACCTACGGAACCTTAGGGAGCCTTCGGGAGTAGTGGGGAGTATTAAGGAACCTTGGTTTACATACCCCTCCCTTCAGAACCTTATACTTGCTCTATTCCTTTAAGGGCAAACATATATAGGGGATATAAGGTACCTTCTTCCCTTGTTCCCTACTAAAACACAGTCTGTAAACCCTACGCCCTAAACCCCTAGACACTAAGTAACCGAAACTGTGTTTATGTACAGTTTTCTCATGGTCCCTTCTGGGGGGTGCTTTTCAAGAAAGGGGCTGTGCTACATAAGGGAGTGACAAAGGTACCCCTAAGGAAGAGCCCTTTTGTCATGGGTCTTGCCTACGAGTTTATACGTACTTATGTACTACCAACGAACCCTAAACACCAAACCCTACGCCCTAAACCCTAGCCCTGAACCCTCCCGAAACCCTAAACCCTAAACCCCAAACCCGAAACCCTAAACCCTAAACCCTGAACCCCAAACCCGAAACCCTAAACCCTAAGCCCTAAACCCTAAACCCTAAACCCTAAACCCTGAACCCTGAACCCCAAACCCGAAACCCTAAACCCTAAACCCTAAGCCCTAAACCCTAAACCCTAAACCCTAAACCCTAAACCCTAAACCCTATCCATGTGCTCCCAGGACTTGCCATCGTGTTTGGAAGCCTTAGTGCAGGCACTGCTGCAACAAGGCCCTCCGAGTTGAGGTATTCGGGTTTAGGGTTTAGGGCTTAGGGTTTCCTAAAGGTTAGGGTTTAGGGTTTAGGGTTTAGGGTTTAGGGTTTAGGGTTTAGGGTTTAGGGTTTAGGGTTTAGGGCTACTGAGACCCAGAGAAGGCTCTTGTTCCCTTTCTTTCGGGTCCAGGTTCCCCTTTCTCGCGCCTTCAAAGCAAAAAATCTGCATCCTTTCTATTCCTCGGTGGTAGCCCAGCGGTGCCCTTTTGCACTTGTTTGGGGGGCTCAGGGGTTCCCTTGTGAAGCAACCAACGCAAAAAAGAGTTCAGGGTTTAGGGTTTATGGCTCCCCAGCGGGCCCAATGTCCCTTTATTACGGAACAGTCCTTAAATCATATTCAGGATCCCTATATAGGTTAAGGAATATATTCCCTAATTAAGGGCTATTGGGCTCTTTGGGTCAGGGTTTAGGATTTAAGGTTTAAGATTTGGGGCTTGGGAGTTTTCATGAACGTTCTAGGACCACGAGTGCTTTCAGAGGTTGGTCCTACGTCGCTCGGGAACCCTAAACCTTAAACCACGCCCTAAACCGGAAAACCGTGCGTGAAAGCCCCAGGGAGAAAGTCCCGGAGGTACGGCATTGTTAAATGAACATCCGACGGCAGCCCGAGCATGCCTTGTGCTGCACCTTTGGGGCGGTTTAGGGTTAGGGGTTTAGGGTTAGGGGTTTAGGGTTTGGGGTTTCGGGGCTCTGCTCTTACCTGACTAGTACTGCAGGGCATGGTGCGCGAATCACCAAGAGCCGCTCCATAGTCAAGACTGCCCGAGGCAAGCCATAGGTGCAGATGCTTGTCACTGGCAGTTGTGGTCATGCACACGGTATTCTGGCGTTGATGGACTGCTTGAGAGATGCCGGCGTCACCGGACCCGAGGCATGGAGCAACCTGGCTTCGGTCCAGGGGCTTAGAATTGGGTGTTCGGGGGTGCGGCAAGCCTCTGAAATTTCTGCCGTTGTGTTGCGCTCTCAACTGGGTTGCTTGGCCCTAAACCCCTAAACCCTAAACTTTCCTCAACCCCAAACCCTAAACCCTATAAACTATAAACCCTAAACCCTAAACCCAGGTGATGCTCCACCAATGTCAGCTAGGCCAGCTACCGCGCATCCTGGAGCCCTGGGATCGCTTCAGGACTTCAGAGCAGAGCCTGTCAAGGTGATACCGCAGCAGCCACAAGTCCGAATGCCTCCAGGGCTCGGAGGTGACATGAAGAAGAAGCTCTATCCCCCCCTTGGGAATCTTTTTTCTTTTTTTGTTCATATAAAACCCAAGAGGATATTAAAAATGTTAACCCTAAACCCTAAACCCTAAACCCTAAACCCTAAACCCTAAACCCTAAACCCTAAACCCTAAACCCTAAACCCTAAACCATGCTATTTGTTTTGGAGGTTCTAAGGGGAGCATAGGAAGACGAACATGGAAGCTTGGATCAAGAAGCTCACAGACTCGCAGGAAGACCTGGGCTATTCCCTCGAGATCGCTTTGGCCGTCCTGAGCGTCATCCAGCAAGGCTCAAGGGATTCAATATACTCCTAATATGGCCCTCATATTCCCTTAAGGATCCTTAAAAAGGGGCCCCAAAACCCGAGGGTACAACATGGTACAACCTTAAGGGTCCAAGGTAGAACCCCTAGAAAGGCGCTTCGTGGGCGCCACGCTCGCCTCCTTCAGTCCTTCCGACATTCGCTCGGAACCCGCCGGCCATGACCTTCTTCACGTACTCGCTCCCCAGCAGCTTCGAGGTGAAAGTCGGGCAGAAGGTAGAGGCGTGGCCGTCGGCATCCGACCTCCGAGGCTGCCGTTTTGCCATCGCTCCGAAGCTTCCGCCACTTGCTAGCCCAGTGGTACCCTTCACCTTTTTTGTTGCTTCTGGCTTCCCTTGTAAAGTAGCCAACCAGAAGAAGGGTACCCTAAACCCTCAACCCTAAACCCTCAACCCTAAACCCTAATTAACCCCTAACCCCTAAACCCCTAAACCCCCAAACCCCCAAACCCCTAAACCCCTAAACCCCTAAACCCCGAAACCCCTAAACCCCTAAACCCCTCCCTAACCCCTAAACCCCTCCCTAAACCCTAAACCCTAAACCCTAAGCCCTAAGCCCTAAGCCCTAAACCCTAAACCCTAAACCCTAAACCCTATAACCCTAAACCCTAAACCCCTCCCTAAACCCTAAACCCTAAACCCTAAACCCTATAACCCTAAACCCTAAACCCTAAACCCTAAACCCTAAACCCTAAACCCTAAACCCTAAACCCTATAACCCTAAACCCTAAACCCTAAACCCTAAATGGTTCCTGGGCTACACAGGCCAGGGTTGATGCTCGACGAGCAGAAAGGCCTGATACGCGGCCGGCCCCAGCATCCCACCCCAGGCCAAGTAACTTGGTAGATCAGGGTTTAGGGTTTAGGGTTTAGGGTTTAGGGTTTTGGGCAACATGGTACCCAGTGGTACCCTTTGCTTCTTTGTTTTTGGGCTCTGGGTTCCCTTATAAAGTAACCCTAAACCCTAAACCCTAAACCCTAAACCCTAAACCCTAAACCGTGGCTACCAAGGTAAAGTACTTTGTCACTGCCGGAGATCGAGAGGAGTTCCCACCAGCAACGCTCTTCATTGCCATGATCAAGTTGACAGTTACCCTAAACTCTAAACCCTAAACTCTAAACCCTAAACCCTAAACCCTAAACCCTAAACCATGTTGGGGAACTGGGCCCTCGACCTCCGAAGGGCCGTTTTTGCATGCACCCGATGACCCAGAGCTGACCCCTAATTCCATTTTTTCAGGGTTTAGGCTTTAGGCTTTAGGCTTTAGGCGTTAGGCTTTAATATTTTTAATTTTATAGGCTTTAGGCTTTAGGGTTCCCTTACCAAATGTTCTTTCCTAGGATGGATCTATAAGCCCTAAACCCTAAAGCCTGTTCATTCCGAGGTTCCCTAAAGCCTGTTCATTCCTAGGTTACTCTGATACTTGAAGGCTCATGGTACTTATTGACTAGTTATAACTGTACTTATAACTGTACTGATAAGCCCCTTAAGTGCCCTAATAGAATTAGAACTTGAGTTATAAGTACAGTTATAATTGGCTACTAAGTACCATGAACCTCCAAGTACTCTTGGGTCTAGGAATTTGATTCCGCTAGAATCTAGGACTGGACGTTCAAGAGGACTCCGTGGCAGCGCCGTGCCATGTGATTCAGTCTACTGGGCAGAAGGGGTTTAAGGTTTAGGGTTTAGGGGTTAGGGTTTAGGGTCTAGGGTTTAGGGTTTAGGGGTTAAGGTTTGAGACCGGGACGCTGTGGGAGTGCACTTTTTTCCATTTATTGAAAGACATTTTAAAAACACTCTCGCAACGTACCCGTATTGTATATAAACAAAATCACGAGACATGCATAACATGCAAGTACGCCAACACAAAGCAGCGATACAGTGTATGTCCTGACCTGAGTTACTGTCCCCGTTTTCTAAATAAATGGGCCAACTTTATTAGAAACAACAATAGGAATCCTCCATTAAAATTCATAGGAACCCTATTTTAAATTAATCGGCGCCGTAAAGTCAATAGGAAGCCTCTGAATATGAATTGGAGGCCCCTCAAAATTAAGGAGAATCCTCGTAGAATTAATAAGAACCCTGTTAAACTGAAGAGGAACCCTACTACAATTAACACGAACCAATCGGACCCCTATAAAAAAATGTGAACCCCTAGAAAAATAATAAGAATCCTACGAAAATGAACATGAGCCTAAATCGATAGGAATCCCTTTAAAGTGAATGAGGTCCTTATTAATTTTAACGCTACGCGACCCGCCTCGGCCCGGCCCAGCGCATCCGCGTGAGCATGGTGATTCCACAGCGCCCAAGTCGCTGGACCCCAAGCAATAAGGGTTGGGTTTAGGGTTCCGGTTTATTGTTTTATGGTTTGGGGTTTAGGGTTGAGGGTTAGTTTAGGATTGAGGGCTTAGGGCTCAAGCTTTGGGGTTTTTTTGGGGTAGGGTTGAGCCCGGCCCCTGGTAGAGGGTGGGGGGGGGTGGGGGGGGGGGGGGGGTGTGGGGGGGGGGGGTGGGGGGGGGTGGGGGGGGGGGGTGGTGGGGGGGGGGGGGGGGGGGTGGGGGGGGGGGGGGGGGGGGGGGGGGGGGGGGGGGGGGGGGGGGGGGGGGGGGGGGGGGGGGGGCAGGGGGAGTCGGGGTAGGGGTGGGCAGAGGGGTGGTTTTGGGTGTGGGGGGAGGATTTGGAGGGGGGTGCCTGTTCTGACAACCTAAACACCTGCGGCCCGAGGCCTCGGCGGATATTAACACGAATCCCATTAGCATGAATAAGAATCTGACAACAAAAGGATAGGAATCTTATTACATGAGTAGGGGCCTTTTTTAAGTAATTAGGAACCCTATGAAACTTTATTGGAATCCTATGAAAATAAATAGGAATCCTCTATTAAATTATCGGAACCGGAAAACAGGTAATAGGAAGGAAGCCTATTAAAATGAATAGGAACCCTTGACAAATCAAAAAGAACCGGGTTATAATTCACAGGAATCCTATTAGGACGAGAATGAATCTTACTAAAATGAATAGTAACCAATAGGCCTGAAAAACAATAGGATCCTTTAACAAGAACTATACCTTTGCGAATCCCAGTAACATGAATAAGACCGCTCTTTAAATTGATAGGAACCGTATTAAATTGGTAGGAGCCTTAGGGCGTGATGTCTTAAAATATGTTGCTAAGGTACAGTGTTTAGTATAGATATTAGGTTTTGCTTATTGGGGGATGATTGCTTGAAATATCCTAGCTAAGGTATAGTTTTTCAGGATAGATGTCATGTCTTGCGTATTGGGCCGTGATTGACTATATGGAAGTTTTGGTACTCTCGAGATTTTGCTGGATTCGTTTTTTTTTTGGTAATGCGGTGTGCTTGATTGTCCATGTTAGCGCGTTTGTCACGTACAAAAGGGCACCCAGAAATAAACAACACACACACAACACAAGTAACAGAAACAACTGTACAAACAAAAAACGTACAAAAAGGACATAACACCAAAGAACCTAAAGAAGGCCCAAAAAACACCCTTCAGAAGATACCGAAAAACCGTACAAAAGGAAATGATGCAGAAACATCTCCAATAATACACAAAAATCCTCCAAAAACCAAAAAAACCAAAAAAACAAAAAAAAAAATACTAATAATAAACAAAAAAACAATCCTGAGAGACTCTTCCCAGGGGTCCGGCTCCCCAACAGAGTCCCTCAGGATTGTTTTTTTTTTGGTTTTCTTGCACAAAAATCCTCCAAAAAACAAAAAAACCAAGAAAACCAAAAAAAACAAAAAACCAAAAAACCAAAAAAAACAAAAAAAACAAAAAAACCAATCCTGCGAGACTCTTCCCAGGGGTCCGGCTCCCCAAAAGAGTCCCTCAGGATTGGTTTTTTTGGTTTTTTTGGTTTTTTGGTGTTCTTACACAAGAACCCCCAAAAAACCAAAAAAAAAAACAAAAAACAATCCTGAGAGACTCTTCCCAGGGGTCCGGCTCCCCAACAGAGTCCCTCAGGATTGTTTTATTTTTTCTTGGTTCTTTTATTTTTGGTTTTTGTGGAGATTTGTTGTGTGTGTTTTTTGTTTTTTCACGCTTTTCGTGTGTTTTTAGGTTGTTTTTAGGATTTGCATGTGTTTTTTGCGGAAAAAGTGCACTCCCACAGCGTCCCATTTTCTAAGGTTTAGGGTTTAGAGTTTAGGGTTTAGGGTTTAGGGTGGACGGCTAAAATCGAGCAAAGAATTGGCAGTGGTAGAGCATGCGTGCACACACACATACTCTCAGACTCAACACTCCTCCTGTCACACAAGCACAGCTCAATTGAACAGATGCGCTACCGGAGCCCTCTTATTTTTCCGGCTAGGTCTTGGTGAGATGCGCCCAGCCTCTCGCGAATAATAGCTTTGGCCGCACCTTCATGAGGCAGCGACCACTTGTAACGCGCCACACAGGCTTTCGACAATGCCGCCAGAGCCTGTCTTTCGCAGACACGTCTGCGTGCCTTGACGTTTCTTGAGTCTTGCGCGCGCGCGCGCTTGTGTGTGTGTGTGTGTGTGTTATTTCTGTACAGACGAAGCCGACCCCAGATCTGTCCCTTATGGAAGCGGACTAAGCTTGTGGGGCCAATTATGGCTTCTCCAGTAGGGATTATGCTATAATACCCAAACAACCCTAACCCCCTAAATCCAAACCCCAAACCCTAAAACCCTAAAACCCTAAAACCCTAAACCCTAAAACCCTAATACCCTAAAACCCTAAAACCCTAAACCCTAAACCCTAAGCCAATAAGGAACTACGTGCGAGTCTTCCGGTCAGCAGCCTAAGCGGCTTCATGCAAATGCCACCTCTCCGGGGAACTTTCAGGACTCAAGGAGGGTCCCTTCTAAGGGACCTTAGGGTTTAGGGTTTAGGGTTTAGGGTTTAGGGTTTAGGGTTTAGGGTTAGGGGCTACTTAGGTATATAGGGACTGCATAAGGTATATATAGGGAGATATGTATCGGGACTAAGATTGAGGGTCCCTTCTCGGGAGTCCCGCCTTATACCCTGGAATGTTCCCCCTTTTTCTAACAGTCCTTAATGGGGATTCTCGTACCGCCTACTATCATCCCTGTGAAGGAGCTGTTGGAATAAGGGGGAACATCCAACCCGAAACCCGAAACCCTAAACATCCCAACTTATACCCCTGAGGAGTTGCGTTTTGCGAGAAACTCGTTTTCGCCGGTCAACTGCGGGGGGGTGGGGGGCACCTGAGGCCCGAGGGCCTTTAGGGTTTAGGGTTTAGGGTTTAGGGTTTAGGGTTTAGGGTTTAGGGTTTAGGGTTCATACCTACCGTAGAACTTTGTGGGTGGTGTATGCTATATCCTCTCAGAACTAACCGAAAAGGAACTACACTGGAGCCTTCAGGTAAGGGCTTGGCGTGCTAAACCCTAAACCCCACAGCCGATAAAGCCCTAATCCTAAACCCTAAACCCTAAACCCTAAACCCCAAACCCTAAACCCTAAACCCTAAACCCTAAACCCTAAACCCTAAACCCTAAACCCTAAACCCTAAACCCTAAACCCTAAACCCTAAACCCTAAACACAATACGGTAAGCAGTAAGCTGCTCAGGCCATGCAAGCGGAGGGTTTAGTTGTAGTGCTTAGGGTTTAGGGCTTGGGGTTTAAGGGATTTAGGGTCTAAGGCTTGAGGAGACAGGGTTTAGGCCCTGGGTTTAGGGTTTAGGGTTAGGGTTTGGGTTTTGGGTTTAGGGTTTAGGGTTTAGGGTTTAGGGTTTAGGGTTTAGGGTTTAGGGTTAGGGTTTAGGCCCTGGGTCTATGATATTGACCCCTTGCTGGGTTGGGTTTAGGG